TGAAACAATTCAATTGAGATAACTACCGGCCTTATTTATAACAAAACAATTTACGAACAAAATATGACAGACGTGAACCAACGACAACCACGGAACTACAGGCTCGTGACTTGGGACAGGTACATAAAGACTGTGGAAGGTTTGACATGTTTGACGGCGCCGCCCCTCCCCTAAACTGGGACAGTTGATAGATTGGTGTTTAACGCCACTTTCAACACTATTGTGCTATTTCGAGGCGGTCAGTTTTTATTGAAGGAGGAAGCCGGAGTGCCCGGAGAGAACCACCGACCTTCGGTAAGAAAACTGACAAACCTAGTCAATTAAGATTGGAGTCGAGTGCACCTGCCCCGTGCGGGATTCGAACTCACAACCTCAGTGTTGACTGGCTAGTGATACAGTAGTTGGACTACTTAGATCACTAGGCCACCGAGACGCCCCAAACCGGGACAGTGAACGACAAAACACAAGAACACAAAATGCAAAACAATAAACGAATTGAATTAGGTCCTCTTCCATGGTCTCTTGCAAACGTTGATGGTACACCTGTAAAGACAAATAAATCTGTCCTGGCTGGTCTTTTAGAAAAGGGCGTTGAACAAATGCAAGCCATTCCTGAGGAAAGCATGTGGATATTTGATGGCATGGCAGTCATTCAATCCATTACTAGGATTCCAAGTACTTTTTCTGATTTGGCAATTGTTGTTTTAAAAACCATCCTTTTCATTTCAAAAAGAGCTCCCCGCATTGATTTTGTCACTGATCAGTATCCCACAATATCCATAAAAAATTTAGAACGGAATCGCAGGTCCTTGGAAGGGCAAATCATTACGATAATTTATAGACCATCACAATCGTGTCCTCGGCAATGGAAGAAATTTTTGTCAGTTGGTAGAAACAAAGTTGCTCTTGTTGAATTCTTTGTGTCGGAATGGAGTAAACAATCCTATAAATTTACACTTGAAGGTATTGATTTATTTGTATCACATGGAAGTATGTGCCACAAAATATATGTTGAAAATGAAATAGTGACAAGTATAGAATGCACTGAGTTTCTAAGCAAACAGGAAGAAGCCGACACAAAATTGTTTCTTCATGCAAAACACACAGCTGACAAAGGTTACGATTCCATTGTTATAAAATCTTCTGACACTGATGTGGAAGTATTGGCCTGCTATTTTCAGAATTGCATCAGTTCTAATATTATTATTCTGACAGGTACGTCTTCCAAATGCAGATTATCAAATGTGCAATCAATGTGTGCAAAATTGGGGAGAAAGTTTGTAGAGCACTGCCAGGATTTCACGCCTTTACTGGTTGTGATTCAGTAAGTGCTTTGTCTGGTAAAGGAAAAAGCAAAGCATTCAGCGTTTTGACACGTTCTGTGGAGTTTTCAGAAGGTCTATCCCGTCTTGGTGAAACCTTTGAAGAGGTAGGCGAAGAGTTGTCAAAAACACTCGAGAGGTTTTTGTGTGCTATATATGGCTATAAATTAATAACATCGATGAATTAAGATTCAGAATTTTTTGCAATGCAAAAAACATTCATTGTCATCTACTGCCCCCAACAAAAGATGCAATGTTAAAGCACATGAAACGAGCCAAATTTCAGGCAAAGATTTGGAAATCTGCTCTTGAACACAACACCGTTCCGTCGCCAAACAACCATGGTTGGATTGTTAAGAACGATTTGATCAGTATCAATTGGCTAGACCAACCGCCAGCGTTAGATGCTTTATTAATTCTGATAAGCTGTTCATGTAAAGCTGGTTGTGCCAACAAAAGATGTTCATGTGTTCGACAAGGTTTATCCTGTACAGATGGCTGTAAATGTTCGAATGCGTGTAGCAATAAGGATTATCAAATCGTTGATATTGCTAACGATGACGACGAAGATGATGGAGATGAATAGATGATGATGATAATGCGGTAGGTGCAGGTGACGAAACTGATGATGATTCTATTAATTGACCTTCTTCGTGACCTTAAAATGTGGTGATTCTGTTGTTAAAAAAACTTTAACATAGATTTAGAAACCCTGACAGTTCTTTTATTTTTTTTAGTAATATATGAGTTATTTCATGAATGTGATGTATAAATACGTGACAGAATCGTGCATATCTGGTTGCTTATGTGTGTGTTTGTTTAGTTACTTGATGCTCTATGTTTCAATGTAAAAAATATACCTTTTTATCAAGAAAACTAGTACGTATGCTTTTTTTCATTCAAAATCATGAATTTTGGAAATTACCCTCCTCCTTTTTTTTTTCTTGGTCCTCTACGATTTAAAAACTAAATAAAAATTAGCCTCCGTTTTAATAAGATATGATTTGTTCAATTTAATAAAAAAAAAAATAGTACCGAATACTTGGTTATTTTTTCATATTTCTGTATATATGTATAAAACAAAATTTTTGATATACTCTTAAATAAATCCCCTTTTAACCCCTTTTGGACACTTTTACAAAAGTATAACACCTCTTAAAATATTCTTCAGACATTACTCTTTAGATTTATACAAAAAAATTGCGGTACCCTGGGGTGTAACACAGAACTGAAATTTTACCCTACCAGCTGATGGACTATCAGTGATTTTATTACCTGTTGATTCTAGCACGTGCCGTCGAACCAAAACTTTAACGACAGAAAAAATCAAATTACGCCAAAACTACTTTACGCACTAAATAAAAATTTCGGATATATTCTCTTTATGAAAAACTCCATCCGACGGTATCTTTATTTTAATCATAATTCTTTCCCATCATGGGCTTAGTGCAGTTTCAGGGGCTATGTGCACTAAGGCGGCCTAGGTGGGGTTTAGACGCTCCCCTAATAATTAAACTAATTGACAAATAATTGCATCCATTAACTGTATTTAGAAAATACAATTATTGGTTGAAACCGACCAAACGAGTAATTTCATAAAAAAAAATTGTGTAGTCATAAAATACATATATATGCGTGAAACATAAATGATGCATCTTACCATCATGAATATAATACATGCAGTTAACGTGTGTAAAAAGCTTTTGAAAGCTATATGCAAAACTTACACGTGACTATAACATTTATAGAGTCAGAATCTTCTCCGGTTTGATTTGTTGCAAAACATCTGTACTCTCCAGCAATTTCAGGGTCAGCTTTTTCAAACAGTAAACTGTTAGTGTTGTTTGGTAGTAGATTTTCATTATGAGTCCAGGAAAATCTTTCGATGATCCCGCCTTTATTTGATACATCATGTCAAGTTAATTCCATTCTATGCCCGTTTACTATCTCCGAATGTGGAAAAGAGATTATGGAAACACGAGGTCATGCCAAGAAACCCTTGCTAAAAATTCCGGTGGACCTCCTACGGCACCCATTAGTGGTTAAAGATTTGATTTCATTCAACAAATTAAATTATGACCTGCATATACGTGTCGCTTAGAACACAGCCATATACCAAATGGTCAATATCAATCATCCGTGTAATTTGCTCTATGGGATGTTTGCAAAATTTCAACGGAGGCAATTTCTTGGCATGTTTACTGAAAATGTGATTATCAATTGAATAAAACAACTCACCATTTACTGACAACGCACCGAACATTGAAACTGAACAACATGATCAACACCGAGAAAAAACAGAGCTGAACTCATGGAAGTGACATTTAAATTTATTTCTCTAATTCTTCGTCAATTTATCCCTTTATGCACCCATTGTATAAAAAAAATTTAATCAACGTGTGGTTCGTTCGATCTCAGTTCTTCATTGGTTAAAATCCGATTATGACGTCGAATTTTCTTGCTTTCCTCTGAATTTCCCATTGTGACGGCATGAAAAAAGGCGACCATGCCTGATGACGTCACATAGAAAGAACATATCTTTTTGCAGATCATTCGAAAAGAAGGAATAAATTTACATGCGAATTGTTTGAAAATTATTAGAGAAACAGATTCCACCACCAAATCTCGTGTAATACGATATTTATCCACTCTCGACAGTTAAATTTCAAATATTTAAAACGCTCGGCGAGCCTCGCGTTTTAAATTTGAAAAGTTAACTGTCTCGAGTGGATAAATATCGTATCACACTCGATGCAGTGGTAGAATCTATATATGTATGTTTATATATTTAAGTAAAAGTAAAAGTTCAGTGATAAGTTAATGACCGTCGAACAAAAAGGAATGTTGAGATTTGAACAGCCCTTTTTGTGAGGAGGTCTTTTAATGTCAATATTAACTAAATCATTGGACTTTTACTGACTTACAAACCGTCAAAAAGATAAGAAAAGTACACAAAAAACCACAAAAAACCACGTGCAGATGCCTTATTCCCCTGAATTGGACGAGTCTAAATATATTCTAGTTAAACAGTACTCAGACTAATATATACAAATAACAGTTACCTAATTGCATTGGAAACGGACCGATTCAATGGCATTACATCATTTAATTTTTTATTTATTATAATTTTTTAGCATTAAAATAACACCATAGGGTAGTTTTATAAAATCAACAGGTAAATTTATATTTTTGAATTTCAAGTTTTCAAAATAACGATTTTTTATTTTATAAATGAGTAAATCAAAACCCTATACAGACTTCATTTACAACTGACCAATGAATGTTCTGCACAAAAACTTCTTGCTATATATATTTGATGTTTTTAATCTGTCAGTAATCATGAACTAGATTCGTAAAGACCAGACCATATGAATACAGTAAGTAAACTCTTCCAACAATTAGCTATTTAAACAGCTTGTTTCACAACTTCTAATCGAACAGACCTACACTGTAAAAATTGTGCTTAGAATTTAAACGTGTTGCAAGACTTATGTGCTTAGGAAAGTGTTTAAATTCTAAACATAACAAAATAAACATGTTTTGGCTCTCAGCACTTCGCAATAAACATGTTTTGGCTCTCAGCACTTTGCATTAAACATGTTGCTGTGCTAAACATGTTTAGCTACTTCGTCAAGTATATGAAGCTAAACGTGTTTAAAATCTAGACACTTTCAATATTTAGACACTTTCCTAAACACGTTTAGAATTACAACACATTTAGGCCAAAGACGGCATTCATATCACGTGCTAATTTTTGAGCGGGAAGAAGAAACAAAGAACCCGAAGTCAAAGGCCACGCTGTTTACTTCTGACCATAACTGACCGTAACTTGACTGTTTCAGAAAGGTAAGGAGTTATGATTATACTGTCTTTTATTTTGTACTGACAATTTTAAATGATTATTGACAGTTATAAGCATTATTTACAAGTACACTACCGTATAGTCAATGCAGGAGAAAAAAGGGGGTATCATCTCACGAAGCAAGTGCTTGTAAGAGCATTAAGTGTCCAAACTATCTTGTGTAAAGATGTTAAGAGTTGTTTAATGTTAAGCAAGTTACAATCATGCAAGTTTGCACTTATTTTTTAATTCATATATGTTCTTGGAAAGGAGTTTGTGAGGATAATTTTCGTTCGGTACTCCTCTGCAGATTACAATGGAACATGAAGGGTAGCGGAATCTGCCGAGTCTTATAAGAATGAGGTGCATCATTCGCAAATCCAGCGTCATATCGAGTTCATTGTTTTCGTAAGCACTTCCGAGATGCACAATCAACATTTCCTCAAAATAAATATTAAGATGCTTGTTTATTTCAATAGTTAGAAGCGGTTGTGCTATTCTTATAATTTTATTGATATGTATTGTTTTATTCTAGATGAGAGAAGTGCAGAGGAAATCATCATCTGTCTTGACATGCTAAAAGAGGAGATAAAGAACAGTAGCAAATATGTTGCTAGGTAAGAATCAGAAGTGTATTTGATTTTAAAAATACCAATATATATTTGATCAAATAAATAATATTAAGCATGAAAACAAGTTTTATATTAAAAAATATCAATTGATTCATCAGTAAATGTATGCTTGTATACCACATTGGTCTTAACGTTGTTATCTGGATCTTTAATCATGCTTTTACTTTTTGGTGTTGTAGTTCGTATACTTATATTTTTTTTATTAATTCTGCTTAGTTGCTTATCATTTTTTTCTATATTTCAGGCCAGTGACCAGCAGTTGGGTACTAAGAAAGGAGAAGCTCTGATTGACTTGTAAATTGAAAACAGGACATTTTCAAATTGTTTTGTTGTAGGGATGGGGTACAAATAGAAGTAGGACTGGTCAATATTATGAACATGTACTTTGTTATGAATTTATGAGTTTATGTTTGATTGTGGTCAATGATTAACTGGAAATAAATGATAACATAAATTCATTTGTTTTATATGTTGTAATTGTGTTTTAAAGCTAGATTTAGTATAATGATTATTTCATTTCAAAAAGTTCTAGACTATTTTACAAATATTTGAAATGAAGACAAAATGCAATAGTCGAATGGCGTGAATTGAATTAAAGTAAAAACTCATTGAGATTGAAAAGGTATTGGTCACATTCAATTTGATATGGAAATTCCAGTTTCTTAGTTTGATGCATTGGCTCCTTTTTGTGATGGTATGAAAACCTGTTTTATTGAGAGCTATCATACGTTTAAAAGTCTAGTCTTCCGGAATATTAGTTTAATTGGGGCCTAATGAAGTAACGGCTTCTCACACTAAAATGAGAAACATGTTTCTTCACGACCCTTTATGGTCTAAACATGTTTACATTCAAAACACTGCACAGCTAAACGTGTTTCCAGACAAAACACTTCACAGCTAAACATGTTTCCAGATAAAACACTTCACAGCTAAACATGTTTACAGTCTAAGCACTTTTTAGCTAAACATGTTTCTAGTCTAAACGGTTTACAGCTAAACATGTTTACAGTCTAAGCACTTTTTAGCTAAACATGTTTCTAGTCTAAACGCTTCACAGCTAAACATGTTTACAGTCTAAGCACTGTATAGCTTGACACATTTAGGCTGTTAGCACATTAAATATTAAACATGTTTAGATTTAAAACATGTCAAAAATCGGTTTCATAAATGTGTTTAGGAAAGTGTTTAGGCTCTAAACACAATTTTTAGAGTGTAGATGCATAAGGTCCTTCACAATATTCAGGTAAAATGTTCATTTTGGTTTTGATTCTGTTATTTTCCTACACTACGTTACATGCAAATGCAAAATAATTAGTGTTGTCTGTTCAGTCCAATTAATTTTGTTTGTCTTTTTTTTGGAAATAAAAAAACTATGTCTGTAAACTTCGATGAATAAAATCGTATTAAATAGCCTAAATGTATTATCTTTAACATCAAGTTATGTAGGTTTAGGTGGCTCGATCAAAATGTGTATAGATGAGATATTTTTGCAAGGTCGATCATCATTCTTAAATTGAAATAAAATGCATTATATGAAAACAAACACTTTTATATTAGTCGTCCGTCATTCCCTTTTCAAGTCTAAATGAACCATAAGGACCTTGAAAAAAAACTTTTTCCATTCATAGTTTTATAATCGCCTGACATAATCATATATTATAAATCGTAATAAAACAATGGATACTAACCATATTAAAGAAATATTTAAAAAAAAATATAAGTGTTCAGTTATGTAGTAAATTGCCAAAAAAATTAATAACAAATAACAAAAACAAACATAAAAAATTTTGCACTCTTATTTAGTGATTTAAACGGAAATTTAACATTATACCATTTTACAAGATCTTGTCTTCGTGTACTATGTACATGGAATAATTTATGAAGTTGATTGATTGTTGTTTGCTTTACGTCCAGTGGCAAATGTTTCATGCATGTTCATGACGAGAACACATAAATTTTAAATACAATAGGTAGGTCTTACAATAGGAGATCGACAGTGGGGTTGGACGTGAAACTTGGAATACCACTGGAAAATGAGGGTATATTGAATAAGGACAGCTGACAACATCCGGACCCTTCAAATAATTGGTGCAAGAGTTTTTAATTTGCAGAGAGCTTTTGATCCATGAAATCTACTCTGAAGTCGGTCATCGACATTTACGTGTAGTTTCCAATATCATTTAACGCATCTAATTTAGGGTAGATACTTTTAGCTCGCTTTAGTAACTGAAAATTCTGTGAAACTGTATTGTTTATTGTACTTGAGTTTTTGATAAGGTATTCTTTACTACCGCTCTCCTTTTTGGTCTCGTGGGAGTGTGTTTGCCTCGAGAGCGGGAGGTCATTGGTTCGAATCCCGACCGGGTTAAACAAAGACGTTACAATTGGTTTTTGCAGTTTCAACGCTAAACACGCGGCATTTAAGAGTAAGAGCACTGACTGGTCGGCTCGGAGTCAGAAATGTGTCCGTGTAGGGTGGCTTTTAATCCCGAGAACTGTTAGCTTGTGAACTTGCAAGTTAAAAATCCGGCTCAGCGAGTCGATCTAGTACAAAGCACTGTTAATATTCATATTATATTTACATGTTTTCGTCCTAAATATGCATTTTATTTGCCGCTTGACGTCATCCATTATCATCATTTATCATCCTTCCCTACCGCTATATCAGCTTCCTCAACATATCTGTAAAACTCGTATCCAGTTAGCGCGTGCAAGTGAGGAGACAGTATCAAGTGAGCAGGACTTATCAACAAATTCTCCCAACATATTGCCTTGTATTGTAATGAAGATAAGTCACCAAATAAATTCTTTTAATAAAATAGATTACACTTGCAGTACATATTTTACAATGAACCATTTCTTATTTCCTAAAATTACTTTACATTCTGAAATGAGATGTTGATAAAATGGTGTCGACGGCAGTCTTGATAAGTTTTGCCGGGACTATTTTTTTTCAGAACTGAACTATTTGACCTAATTTGAACTATTGATCTGACCTGTATTGAGATCAATCTGTCGATACAAATGTCAACAATGCGGGGGTGGCAGTTTAAATTATTAAAAACATTTATAGTGAACATAAATCTGTCTTTCTCAAATTAACTTCTCCTTTACGAATTACGACTACCTCAATATATATGTGTACTTTTAGTCTTGAAAACAAACAGCATTTTGATGCGTTTCTAGAATTTTTTTATGAAGTGTATGCTGTTCAGCAGTCAGCGAGTAGAAATTTTCTTCTTCTGGTGATATGAAATACTACGATCTTTCAATATAATCTTTAATATTTCTTTTTTTTTTGTATCATCTTCAAATATTATACTCTCATATATGCATTATCATGTACACGAAACATTTTTCTTCCTCTAGTTAATGGGAATATTTTACCCCGCGTATTTTGGCCACAAGGTGTATCCGCGGTTTAATATTTTGATGACGTGTGTTGCCTAGTAATAACAGAGACACTCTGGTAATAACAATTCCCGCGAAATTATTGAAAAAGGAAATTTTGATAAAAAACATTGCTTTGAAAGATGATAAAAATGTTATCTGAATGTGGATTGTATAGATATTGAAAAATATCAGCCCCCTCGACAGAATATGAAGCTAAATGGCTCGTTCGCTACGCTCACTCGACATTTAGCTTCATATTCTGGCTCGCGGGCTGATATTTTTCTATATCTACATATCCACATCCAGATAACATGTACTTATTTTACCGTTACTGTACAGTGAAGTGTTTTTCTTCTACTGATATATTTTACACCTTCTTTAATTTTCACCGATCGAGATTAAAAATGGGCAGGTGATATTTTTCAACCAAACACTTGTGCCTGTTGGGATATCTTTGACGGTAAATAATATTAAATCAAATGTGCCTGTTCGGATATCTTTGACGGTACATATTATTAAATCAACTCCGTATTTTTTAGTCACGGGGCGGGTTTGAGCTTATCATTCTGTATAGGCATCTTACTATTACAAAAGACTGCATGTTGACTCTTGATGTTTTGATTTGTATGTATCGTTGGGTTGCTGTCGCGTCAATGTATACCTTTATCTCCTTTCATTAAAAACCAAAGGATTGACTTGGGTATAAAAATATTGACATCTCTGGACTTCTCCCGTCCGATAGTATAACCTTGCTAAATGGGTGCGTCCGTTTGGCTGTTCGGATGTATAAATACGCAGCTTTGTCCGGTCGAAATAGAAATGTCGTATATCCAAAGCCTGGTGTAGTGAGAGTTTCGCTATCTATACATTAAAGAACCGTTTGAATAACTCTTCGAGGGTGGAAATAAGATCTACGCACAAGTTAATAGGATTTAAAAGTCTAAATTTTAAATCAGTTATCGGTTGTGCTCATGCCACCGTGTCCGTTATACTACTTCGTCAGTTATTAATATTTGGTTTTTAGTTGGATCATCGATCTTCGCAAGTGATTGATTTACCAATAATCCTCCTTTTGACGTCGACATTTGGGAAAAGCAGACGCTTTTTTAGCCACAGAAAATATCTTCATCAAACCCGCCCACCCTCCCTTAATTTGTTAGAATGCAATTCCTACGGAAGATACTGCTGTTTGGTTTTGTTTGTTTATTTCAGATTTGTATTGTCCTCATAGATTAAATTATCACTCCATGTTGAAAGCTGTACAAAAGTGCTAATGTCGAGACTGTCGTTCAAGAAAAAAATAGTGAATCCTGGACAAAGAGTGGACATATACAGATTTTGAAGGGATAACTTGGAAGTGATTTATCAGGGATTTTATAACATTCAATCATGTATAATTAGTTGCAGTTTTGTATTTATCGTTGATAGCGCTAACTTCTGATATCCAGGGTTAGTCGCTTGATTTATGGCAGATTTCGCTGCGCTTACAACATATTTGCAGTTTACAGACTTATTTAAATCGTATGATAGCATTAGCCTCTGATTTCCAGGGTTAATAGCTTATCTTGAACTTTCCCTCTGCATAATACACCGTGTATATATAGTCTGTCACCTCGAACATATTCGGCGATCATCATATAACATTTTCAAAGACACATATGCATTTCTATCAGTGAATTTTAGTTCATACCTCAAATTGCATTTCATATAATAGTACATATATCATATCTGTTAATAAAATGCTTTGGCCATTTCCTGCCAACTCCAATCTTGTTATTTTTTAATAAATGAGTGAAATCTCTAAACAACAACAAAGGTCAACTAAATCTTCAAATAAGCCACATAAATGCACGAACAGGTTTGTAATTAAAGATAATTTTGCGTTAAATTATGTTTTGTGGTTAAGTACTATTAAGTTGTAACCTTCGACATAATCCAGCAAGCATCTCATAAACGTCCAAATATATATATATTATAATATAAAGACAAAATGTGTGACGA